TAAGACAATAGCCCTGAGGTGACTTCATGGATTCCAACTTGCTTTCCAACACATAGATTGGCCAGTTTGATTGCTGATGACTGGATTATGGCAGCACTGATTTCAGTATAGCTCACTGCAGTACATCCTGGGAACTTGTGGGGACCTGTGGAATGTTTGCGATTGTTTAGTACATTATGCAACATGGGTGGGAATGCGTCAGTGCCTCGAGGCTCCACACCGTGGTCTGCACTACTTTCCTAGTTTTACGAACCCTTATAAAATGTTTGTCGAACCTAATTTAAGAACCGGGTCTAACTCGGTTCTAAAGTAAACGGAGAAGGTTTAATTGCAGAGCACACAACTCAGAAACCGTTTAAACAATTTGATTCGGGTGATGAAGTGCTGAAAGGTGCTTCACCTTCGGAATGAAAATGAAGTACTATGTGCAGTTTTTGCAGCACCACTTAAGCTTTCAGTAATGTTTAGTGTGCATGAAGAAGCTAGTTGTGTACACCCCGCCTAGTTGGGAAATGAGAATCATGAAAGCTAACCAAATGGGTCCCACATACTATCCACTGGCGATTGACAATAAACTTCAAAAATGTCACCGATTTTGTTTTGTCCGCTGACCAAAACGTAATGAGATATGGCTTTTACATTACAACAAGTGGAGTACCACCACCCGCCACCAGATTGACTACTTTAAGCTTCTAAGGCATCACAGTAACTTGGCGTATCCTTGGAAGACAATACCAGACCCCTTAGATCGAACCACACACCATATAACTGACCCATGAGAAGACTTACAGGTGTTTAATTCTTATTATAAAAAAACTGAATGAAATTGTTTGACCACCCTGTATTTTAAGCGTCGCGCCTTCAGACTAGTAACAATCGGTCGGTAGATGTTGCCATTTAAATTTATGGCTAATTGAGCCTCAGAATACGTGGTATAAATCCACTATAACATTTACATTATTGTGTCTGGTCACACAATTACTTTGTTACACGAGTTGGCTAAATGGTGGATGCAAGTCTGCTTCCACATTATGGCAGAGTTGTACCAACTTGTGGGCATTTTCAACTGCACTTTTGGGCACACAAAAATGAGTCGCTACAGAGTGCATTGTGTGCAGACTTTTAATAGCCCTACAAAACTGCCGACTAGAAAAGGAACTTGTTACTACTTTTTGACTTTCTATCTCAAGTACCTGCTTCTAGACCTAGACTAAATGGAGATTGAGTACTCGCCTTAGCCCCCCTTAAAGGCAAGAATATTACTTCAGACCGATCTATGTTAATTTAGTTTGAGTAAGTTGAACTATTTGGCAGAAGTTTGGGGGGGGGGGGGGACAAATAAATTGCGAGCATATCAGAGTAACCCCTCCCATGGCAAGGGATTTACTTCTCACCTATTCATCGTGGCGCCTTGCGAGGTACTAAAAACCTACCAACAGACTCTTTTCCACCCGCAGCCTTTTTGATATACGGCAAAGGTCACCTCTGACGCCGCCTTTGTGGACAATCATGAATCCTTATGCTGCGTGGGTTAAACTTCGAATGCACTACAAATATGGCTTTTTACCAATGACTTCGGAGTTTAGTTGATATTGTTTCATGCCTTACTAAAGACTTCTTTCATTGAAAAACTTTAGATGGACATGTTATTTAACTTGCGAATTTAAGTCTGATGACGAATAAGTATTGAATGAATACTGAAAAGCGGTACCCCAAGTTAAAAGTGGTGGAGGCTTATCGATATGGTCTTCAAAGTGTAATATCGCATCTTACTTCGGTCTTCTCCGATGCCGTTTCTATGTGAGGACTAATTATCTAATCCAGAACGATGTTCGAAGTAGAATTTTCTTTAAAGGGTTTAACAAGTAACATTAAAAAAAACCGGTCCAACATCAAAACATTTTTAAAATAAAGGAAAATGTCTAAAATAGTTTATACGCACACTTACTGTTTTTCAAAATAACAAAATGCTTGCCATTTGGAATTTGGTAGGTATTTTGGCAAGTTTTCTATGCGCGTCACATATTTGTGACGTCCCTGTTTTTTGTTTTAGTCAGGCGTCATGAGTTTGCAACTTGTGCTCTTCGGCAGTTGAAAATCATTATTTGTGTTGCGAAGAGGTAGGTTTAATTTAAAATATTAAAAATAGATGTAGGATGATATTTGCTTGCAAAGAATTGCATTTTTTGAGTTTTTGAGGGGCAGTGAAGGAAATTAGAAAAGCAATAAAATTTTGTTGCTTTAAAACGGAAAATTCTTTGGAAATTCGCAGTGGAATTTCCTCTGAGGTCGTGGTAGAGAACGCACTGATCATATTATAGCTAAAACAACGCCAGGCCCCAAGCTACAACGAAATTAGCATATTCATCCAACGTGATAGAATGTCAGTACTATGGAGTCGAGGCCGACAGAAGCGGGCATCCTTCCATGCGTTAATCCACTCGAACGATGTCTGGGTGAAGTTTAGAGACTCCCACTTCCTTCATCCCGACCCCGTGTGGCAGTTGTGACTACTCCTGTCAAACTGTCAGCTTCTTTCAACCAGCTGCCCCAACCAGCCAAGACCTTTGATTGGCAGGTCCCCTCCCCTGCCTGGGCAGCAGTTGTATTCACCCCTCATCCCTCCCTCCCTCCCTCCCCCCGACCGTCTGACATGATTGACGAAGCACGTGAGAGACATGCATCCGCAAGCGCACGTGGTGAATGAATGGACATTTCGGGACTTGCAACAGCGGTTACACCGGTACCGGTAGCAGCGGTGGCATTTGGGGTCACCGCAAATGAGCCACTGTCAGTGCCAAAGCGCAAAAAACAGGCGCCTCTCTTGTCACTGTCAGTCGTCTAACGATGATGCTACAGGATTGATACATACACAAACACGGGACCAACCGCTAGTTAAACATCTCTTTCTGATTGAAAACGGGGATGTCAGTAGTAGTGTTGGTAATCGTAGAATAGAGAACTAGTCGGCAATTTAGAACTAGATCTCTCACGAACTGGAGGCGGAGGATGGATTGTAGGGTCTATGATAGTGCATTCAGTAAAGAGGCAAATTCTCGGCCCTAAGTTAACGCACTTGTCTGAACTGTCAATGCACATGGACCATCTTCGAGGCAAATTGCTTGGGCCAGTCAGTAAGTAGAGACTGTATTAATGGGGGGTTTTACTCCACCAGTTTCGGAGAGATTCTAGAACGTTTGTTGATGTGACTAACAACAGTTGCTGCAATAGTAATGGTAGTTGGTGAAGTGATATTACTTGCCTTTATGGAGACGACAGTCGTGATGATGAAGACTAGACAACCCGAAGTATCCATTTCAAATAAAAGTCAGCTGAATCAATATCTGCCATAGTCAATGCCTTCCGATCCGATTAGACATAACTGACTGATTACTTCAAAGTCGATTTTAGGTGTGCTAACGTATCACAGTATGAATGAGGATAGAAAGAATTTACGTGGGATAGCATGCAAAGGAGATGCACGAGTGAATGTATACGGAATGAATGGATAGATAAATACAGGAAGAATGACTAGAGGATGGAGTAATGCTGCGCCAAATACTGACGGGTGATTCAGAAACGTATACCATTACGTACTGTTGCGGCTACTTACGCCTTCGAGATAGGAACCTCAGGGGAAGGCCAACCGGCGCCTCCTGGATATTTCGTTCATCTACTACGACACTAACTTGTTGTAAGACTTCTTTGACTACTTCATCTGCTGTCGATAAGCTAGAAGTGTAATTATCTTCCTCAGCCTACGACTAACCTGTCGCCACTTTAGTGTTCTAATCGCCACTAGTCTGCTGGAGGCACTATTTGGTGTAATTTCAACTATCATAAAGTAGTAAAGAAGGCATCCCGTATTAATGCCGCCGGACCCAGACAATGGAGTTGGGTGTAACATCCGCGACTCTGATGTGGATACCGTGTTAATGCTTAGACTGCTAATTGCTAACGTGGAAGGAAATCTGGTGTAAAATGCAGAGGTTGTTTGACTTTATCACTAATAGCTACCATCGTTTTGCGGAAACACATAAGAATTGAGACTACCTTCCGAAAAAAGAAAATGAGTAGTTGCGTTTAGTCCTTTCGACAGTTGAAGATGTGGCCTAAATTAAATGCATTCTTTCATGATGGTAAAAACCTGGAACACCTTAGTGAGGAGATGTCTACAAAGGTTCCTCCGAAGTACAAATATTGTGTGGAGATATTTTCTCGTATCTGCCGAAGTGCCTACTGCAAGATATCTATCAGCACACCCTCAGCTAAGAGTACACTTCTCAAAGCAAGTAATAAAACACGATTTTTTATAGGCAAAGCTGAAAATTTATTTGCTTACCTACTTGGTTAATCCTTAACCTCCAGTGAATAATCAGCGCCGAGTAGTACAAAGGAGGAGGTGGGGTAGGGATAGGGGGGACTTTTGAAGTGCCGCTGATGAAGAAGCAAGAACCACTTAGTTGAAATTGGACGCACACACACACACATTCAAGAGAGAGAGGCAGACCTACAAATAACCTTTCAGAGTAAAAAGGGTACCCACATACGGAAGGTAGGCAAGGTGCGAACTCATCATTCATGCACACCACACGCGCGTACACGCGGAGGCAGACTTCAAAGGTCCTCTCCATTGCTGAAATCGGAGACGCATACGCACAAACACCAGGGTTGGATTTTCGCAAAGAGTATGTCATCTTATATCTGCTTGCAAAGCATAACTAGTTTTACTATTGTTCAATTGTTAAGAATAACGAATTTTCTCCGGGTAATCAAGCTGCAAATAACAATATTCTTTCTTAGGCTGTAGCGTCCGGATTGGGGACTAGGAAGATGCTTTACTATAAACTCACTGGAAGACCGAGATTCCAGTATTTTCGGTAACGGGAGCAGAACTTAGTGTCACCGATTTTGGGATCTATTCGTGGAATATTCAAATTCCTTGAGCAATATCACATAGCAGTCTAGGGGGTCGTTGAGGTCGGTCTTCATCTAAACGACTAAAATGAACTCGTTTCATTAAAAGTGAATATGGGCCCAGTAGTAAATACAGATTTCTTTAATATGGTGCCAGTAAGAATAGTAAATTGAATTTTACATCTTGCACTAACTGTACCATTCCTTGCCAAACGCTTCATTAGTCTCGTAGCAGTAAGACTGCTCTTTAAGTGACCTTTATTTCTACCCCTACTTCTTTCAATCCATTCCATTTCAAAGCAGTCACCCTTGAAGAAATAATCACCCCTAACACTGGAGGAAAATTTGTCATTAGCGTACAGATGATTGCGAAGCCATAGCCATCAATGAAAGGCCATACCACCAATACGGAGACTGATGGTAGTGTCTTCAATTACCAACTGCTGTGAAAAATTAAAGCACTCTTCGAAGAGGTAAAGAAAAGGTGGCACAAGCCTCAGCAGGAGATGGAGAAGCCCTTCCGCAGAATAATCGCTCGTCCATCGAACGTGGAGCCATCCTTTTTTATCAGCCTCGTCTTCATTCACTATCGGGCCACGGGGAGAGTGTGTTATGCGTCTCGCCATCATCATCATCATTGTCATTGTCATTGTCGTTGTTCCTAATATCCCACCAGCCGGCCTAATTGCCAGCACATTCCCTTCTCTTATGTGCCGTAATTTATGGACACACGTATGTGTATGTGTGTGCAAGACACATTCACTCACCGGAACCGATGGTATTGCGGTTTTACGGCTTAGTCAAATCTCGGGTCTGGCTGCATGCAAGCGTCTTTGATGTGCCGCCGCCGTCGTCGCCACTATCATGGGCCACACCTTGTTCCCCCCCACTCCATCACCGTTTATATCGCACACACGCACGCACTCGATTAATATTTCAACCTACAATAATGACCCAGATGACACCGATTGGAGGTGGCGGTGGTGATGGAGCAGACGTCGTGGTTAGCAAAATGCTCAAAAATGCATCACTCCTATGAACACCTTTTTCTCTCCATGCCGTTGTCGTTGGGACGCATTGAAGATAAGCAAGAGTACGTTTGTCTCCAATCCCATTTTTCTTTTTACTTTTCTTCCACTATTGCACAAGTAAACTCGTTGACGGGGCTCTCAGGATACATCCTAGAATTCCTCTAGCCTTTTACAGAGCACAATCCTCCATCTTAAGCTATTGTCTTAGTGCATATCCCTTTCCATTGAGCTATTTGACAAATTTTATTCCATTTCAAAATAAGTTTGTGCAATGACGTTTTCTTTTGTAAGCACGGGTTACACCGAATATCATTGAAATGGTATTGTCATTCTAAGCCGTAGGCATGCAACTTCCATGAGCACTTCTGTGTCTGTTGAGGTGATGTTTTGGCTTTTGATTGTTATGGTTTGGGTGATAGTAGGCGTATATTTGACTACATGAGTCTTTCCAATCTCTCACAATTTGGCTGTCTTGTAGACTGCAGGGACCTTTGCTCTTGTCACCCATATATGTAAATTAGACTCCCTGCATCCTGATAATGGAGTTACCTCCATAACCTTGCACTTTATGCCATCTTTAAGAATAAATTGAGCGTCATAACACAGTTGTGGTGCAACCAGCTTTGGCAAACCTAAACTAAAGAAGGGCCGATCCCACCTTTTGCTGCTTAGTTGAAACGCCAGAAGGAAGGACGATATCTGATTCAACGAAGACTCACAGCAGAAGGCTGTCAAAATGCACCAAATTTGAAGAAACTTTGAAAGGATGGAGGGAGATCAGATTTGAAAGAAGCTCTTTTGGGTAGAAATAGTTTAGGGGTATTATCTGAAGCTCTTAGGTAGATAACGAAGCTACTGCCGGACTCGTGCGCTTTAAATAGACTCCCAGGATAAATCAAGCACCACATTACAGGAAATTAAAGCGTTCTTTGTGTAGGAATGGGACTGCAATCTGAACGTCAGGAATCAGTCTCGCGCTGTTTCCTTTAATCACCGTAAATAAAATCGAAATCTATTTTTTAGAATAGGGCCGGCAGTGTGCCCCTCACCTTTGATGCATTTTTAATCCTCAATTCAAGTTACGTGTAGATCTGCTTACACAGTAAATCAATGCTTGGAAGTGATAAACTCTCTTTCCAAATCCCCAAGAGTATGGAAAGATCAAAGGCCAGTCTGATGTGTACCTCGGTCAGTGTTTACCAATCTCAAATTTGCACTACCAGAGCCGGGCAGTTTTCAGAGTGAAGTCAATGCTAAATAGTCAGTTCGCCAAGTTACTTGCTATCTCGATAGAATAATGCGATCCAATCGGTTTAGGCAGTCAGTGCTTTCCAATCTCATTAACTGTTTGCACAGACAGAAGACGAGAGACGAAACAGGGTTGGGGGAGTGTGTGTCGGAGAAGTGTGGGTCCATTATTTATCACCATTATTCCTCACATTCTGTCTCCGAGTTCCGCTAAGTGTGTGCGTGGCTATCAAAGAGACACCGAATGTGTTTACAGGTCTTTGTGAGTCTGGGTGACAATTTATTCAGCTTCCACAGTGTCTGTGATTAATGAGTTTGGTTGAGTGGTTTTTTGAGAACTGTCTGGTTGGGATGGTGTGCGGGTGGAAGCAGTAGTGAAAAATAGCATGTGATGACGGCAGCCACCACCACCACGGCGACGACGGCTCTCGCCTCAACTTCAAAGTACAGACGCTAAAAAGGCACACCGTGTAGCACACCGTACTCGCACCGTCGGTGGACAGAGTCTCCACGTGCGCGTGCATGGGCAAAGGCTAAACACAAACCTGTGAATTATTCGCCCTCAGCTGTCCGGTGCTGCAGCATTGTGTCATTAGCATCAGATTAAAAATAACTCCAGATTAATCTGTAAATGTCCTTTTAAGCTAATTACTAATGCTGCTCGATTTTTGGCATTAGCCAATCAATCAGGAGAACTTCACTTTGACGCCTCAGCGTGGAGTTTAACGACATTTTGAAGGTGGAGGACTAGTTGCTGTAACCGCCACATTTGATCCCAATCTCTCGGTCTGCTAAACCTCCATTACTGCTGTACTCCTTGATTAATGAGTTGATGGCGTTTTGGTTATAAAACAATCAAGGAATTAGGAGACCATTATTAAATTCAAGGTTTTAGTCTCGCCTATCAGGGCGATACGGCCTCCATTCTTCGTGTCGAATCAACACCGCTTAAGTGTGTGCGATGTGGTGTTTTCAAAGTCGCCTCTCACGAAGGCGACTTTGAAGTTGGTTGTTGGTGCCGCTAATTTAACTCCCCTGGCGTGGCAGTGGTGTTTGGACGTAAACAGGAAGTGATGATGCTCAAATAAGCTGTCGGCAGACATGCTATAAAGCCTAGTCAACGTCATTTCATGGTTTGGCACAAATTATGCGTGTACTGTAGATAAGAAGCATCCGAACTACTTCTTCTTGATTTGATAGACACTTTGTCCTTTACTTTCCTTGTGTATTTAGCATTTATCATGGTTTATATCATTCTTCATTTGTCTCTCCATAAACCAATCCGATTCTCATTAAAACGTCTATTCTAGTTATGCTTGCATAAACGCGCTCACCTTGTCTTTTAAGACAAGCTTATTTTTGGGTGATTTGGAGGATATTTAAAATGAAAGAGGGGATGTTGTGATATGTTGGATGTTTAACTCTCCGTTTTGTTAAAGGGGCCGCTTTGGGCCTTCACCACTGTACCTTCGCTGATTGGGCTGGCCTTCGGGCCATGATAGTAGCCTTAAGCCCTGCTCCGGTCGAGTGTATACATTCTGCCCGCGTATTGTTTTATTTGGCTTTCCGAAAACTCGCGGGTGCTGCATTTGTGACAGCGAAAGCAAACCCGATTCTAAAGGACTTATGTTCCAATTTCTACAGCCGGGTGATAAACCTTCGCGGAGTCGAAGAAGTGTATATGCCGTCGACGGGAGGATTTGTGAAGACCCGCAACGGATGGGCTAAAGATGACGTCTTCCCTCGGCAACTGCCCCAGTCTCGTAAGCTGTAGGAAAGCTATCAACAAGTAAAATGATACAATCTGTGACCGTGAACCATCTGGAAAAGTCCATTACGGAGTTTTCCACCATTCCTGCAAGAAGATATCAACTATGTGAACAAACGATACCTCCTTTACCTGTCTCTTAGCTGGAAAGGATCCAGGAAAATATGGTTGGGCAGCACCGAAGTAGCGATGAGGAACAGATGCAACACTCCATTCCCATGGACCAATGTCAAACGCCGTCCTTTGTTATTTGACGCTACTTTTGGGCCAATGTTCCTAAGACTAGCAATGGACACGCGTGATGGCTAGCACATTCCTCTTCCCCCAATATGATTCTCATGGAGGACGAAACCCCAGATTTTGTAGAATTGCCAAGAAGGACCAGTGATGTTGCCTCCGAATGTCTTCCCATTTGTACACGAATTTGATGACTGACACGGTTCGTTTGTGGGTGCCTTTCCTTACAGCGCCGATTTCGTTGTGGGGGCCGAAGCGGGAGGCTGGCCAAAATAGACACAGGGGACAACGCCTAAAAGCAAAGAGGGATTTGTAGTACGCTGACTGTTTGCATAACTCTTGATTTTAGTCAAGGAGATACTTTAGTTCTCCGCCATTGTATCCCCTGGGCCATATCAACAGCTCCAGTTCCATCTGCATGTCAAATATATGGATTATGAGCAAGTATCCTGTCTTCTTTCGTCTTCAGGAAAGCCTCAAGGCACTGCAAGGTCACGATCTTCAAAGTTGTGATTTGGCAAAGTATGCAGTTTCTGCACGGACGATGAGAAGTTGGTTCAAGACCAATACTGAGGGAGCAATACCCATGACTCACTAGATTAGGTAGTTATGTAAATTTTAACCCATTATTCTCTCCTACAAGTGTAACGATTCGCAGAAGGGAAGCAATCTGTTCTGTGTACTTCAAACAATTGGCACGGCTCCAAGCCAGGAAGTGAGCTATTCACAAATATCTTTAAAAGAGTAAGCTGTAGCCTAAATAATTTGGAACTAAAAGCATTTTTGCATTACTACTTAAATAAACTCAATTTCTATTTCACCAGCATTTATTGATCTGCAGTGATAGGTGATCAGTGGGAGTTCACCAACACCCCCTCATTTTAAGCCAATCACTAATCGTAAAGTGACTTGTACACAGACAGTTCACAGGGCGTAGGGGGAATCAAATTTTACTTTTAGTTCTAATGTATGCTAGCAACTCTCACTTAATTTTCACCTCCCGCCAATCACGGGATACTCCACTGCCCTTCCGCACTGCCAATTATTCGAACAAGGGAGGACCGTGGGAACGAGGGCGCTTCTCCGCGTTTTTTTTCGACTAGCTTTTGATTGGCACTCGGAAAAGAGAGAGAGGAGAGGAGAGGCTAAATTATACATGGGGATTTTGGTGGGGAGAAGACGCTCTTGGCTGTTGAATGCGGCCACGGTGGGTGGAGAGAGAGAGAGAGAGGAGGAGGGAGGAGCCTGCCATTCACGCACATTGAAATGAAGACGCCCAAAGGTGAAACAATGAGACAAGTAGCATTACAGTGTCAATTATTTGTGAGGTGCAAAGATGGACAGCAAACGAACCATGCTAGGAGGAGAATTAAATTGGTTGGAGGATTGAATCTCGAGGCTTTATTGCAAGGCAAAACATTGCTGCAATACTAGTATTGCCCATTACCATTCCCAAAATTGGTAGGATAAAAGCTTTTTTGGTCAGCGTCTTATCAAAATGCAGTGTCTGGGAAGGCGAGCAAAAGTTGCTGTATCCATTTTAAACATAGCAGAAAATCTGTCAGAGGAAACTTCTAGCAAACTGTCAAAAATTCCTCTACCAATGTGTCGTTTAACAAAAACCTTTGACATTTCAAGTCAAAGGGTGAAATGTTTTGGTTTGACAGAAAAGCATTTTTCACGTAAGACTTCCACTTGTTTCCTTTTCTGGAGATTTTCTGTCATGGGAAATACACCTCTATAGGTAGTAGATTGAATTACAGCCCTTGGTGCTTAGTTGAGCCTTGATACCTCTGGGCCAAGAGATGGGCTAATCTCTCACGTCAGTCATCTGTTCGAAACCTCAAAATCCTTCCCTACCCCTACGTACCCCAACAACACAACGCTAAATTTTACCAGGAAGCCCCCGGAGCAGGTGGAACGGGTAACTAGGTTTTGCCTGTCAGTCACAAAACCCGGATCCCCACTGCCTGCGAGGGCTTGGTGAAGGGGACTGTGTATCTCTCGCGTCCTAACTCATTCCCGAGGTGGCGGGGGGTGGGAGGGAGAGACCAGACAAGTCAGTTTTACGCAGAATGGGAGTGATGGAAAGATTGCTCCCCTGAGGCCGCACAAATGTCACTTTTTTGACGTCTGTCGCATTTCTTTCTGACGACCTCGAATTGAGGATTAAATGATTGCTTAGAGAATCGGCCATTTACTTCAACGATTAAATTTAGGCTATGGCTTCGACTGACGCCTAGGATGGAGACTATGGTGATGTAAAGATACAGCTCTGAATAATTTTAGTTCCTAGTTGGTAACAGACTGACTTCCCAACTAAATACGAATGAGACATGTTAAACAAGTTTTACGCATTGAGAATTAAAAAAAAAAACTATAAATGTGAAGTCTTTAAGAGCAGAATAAGTTGGCACGTCAATCGCCTCCCCCTTCAGGGTTATAAACGAGTTATAGAGAGAACTGTCCATTGCATTAATGGCACCCTGCCTACCCTCACAGAGATAGGGGAATGGGTAGGGCAAAAGAAATGTGCAAACCGGGCATGAAAAGGTGGCACTAATTAACCGGCATTGTGTCCATATGGGCCATCTGCATTACAGGTGACACCCACCTACGCACGCACGCACCTGTGTGTGAAGGACGGTCCCGCTGCCCCGATGCCCCGCCGCATACGGCACTTCTATTCCAACTCACTAACGTACAGCAATTTGGGTGTATGCTTGTGTGTGTGTATGTGCATTTGTGCTTTCGAGGGAGAGGCCAGGACGACGCACTAATGCGTGGTAAGGGAGCGGGTGCATGTGCTCTGGCTTGTGCGTTCAGCGCCATCTGCACTTTTGCGTGCCGGTACCTTCAAAGGACGTTTGTTTGTGCTTGGCAAAAACCCTCCCTCCCAGCTTCGCACCCTTGTTCTTATGCATGCGTGTTAACAGTAGTTTGACGAGTGGAAGTGTATGCTCTTCCAAAATTACGATGAAATACCGTCAGAAGTGTCGATTGATCCTCTATGGGCTTGAGTCCCCATAAAATACTTGTCCGTTGCGCATACCATTCAATTAAATAGATTAGTATGAGTGGTGTCAAGAAAACCCGTCACCGTTCCTGTAGTGCCAATTTGTTTAGAGAAGTGAATTGTGAGCTTCATGCATCAAGCTCCACATCCACCGCATGAATAAACTCCATTAATTATCTATTTTGAATTTTCCCTTTGTAGTAAAAATTGCAACTCTCGTCACTTGCAAGCAAGTAGACTGACTGCAAAAGGTGTGAGATCCTCAAGATTCTTAATCTTATTTAAAAGGCATTCCGTTTGACTTCATCAAACGGGATCTACGCTTCTCTTAGCCTTCGTAGTCCTGATTTCTCTCGCCAAAATTACCAGCTACGTAGCGTAAATTCTGATTGAGAAGTCATGAAAAAGGCACTTGGTGTTCATTCGTGCTTTCAGATGCGTTCGAATTGGCTAAATCCACGTCACGGATCGATTAGCTTCACAAATTACTCCATCGCAAATCCACCATCGTGATTGGTGTTGAAATGCTGTTGTGGCCCCTATTCACCGCGTCCTCTTTCACCTCCCTCCCTCCCTTCGACAACCTCAGTCAGGCCCAGATATCGGAGAGCTCACGCACCGACGACTGGTGCGTTATCGACCTAAGGCCGAAATCAATAAATCAATAAAGCCGTTTGGTGGAAGCGTATTGTGGATGACTCATCTCCGCGGTATGGTAGCCAGGATGCCATCCAGCCCCGCCACAAAGGGCGAAAAAGAATGTAAATTAGCCTATTTGTAGGTTAAAAGTCGTGTAGGGCATTAACTCCAAATAGTCGGCCATCAAACAAAGAGCGGTACTTTTAACCGGATTGTGATTGATGCCTCCGTGTGCGTGCGTGCGTGCGTATGCCAGCTTTTCAAATAGCCGAGCTAAATTGGAATTTCTTTAAGGCATGACTGGTGCGTGACTCAGAGGCATGATCACCTAGCTGTGTTGAGCATTTCTCCATCTCCATAAGGTGAAGTTTACCTCTCCATGGCCTACCGCATTTCCACTATGGAAGAGAGGAGGGAGTAAGGGGCAACGTCTTAAATTAAATTACTGCGACTACACTGGCGTCAGCGAATAAGATGGCAGCGTCCTGATAGACCTCTATCCCACTACGCCTTATGGACTAAGGGAATGACTGTGCTGCGTCATCAGTCCTGATTATAATTGAGATTATTTGTTTGAGCTTTC